AGTACGGAGAGATAGTAATGAAACTCCTTCACAGAAGTATAAAGATTATGGTTATTGCAGACTTTCGATAAAGTCATGGGTAAATGCCATTACCACGGTCAAAAGATGGACGGAAAGAATATAAACGTATACATACACTCCAAGTATGTAAAAAACATTATTGCGTAGTAACGTCTACTATAAACGAGGGAAAAAATAAAAGTCAGTGGCATATACTTCAGTATCTCCAATCAATCTGATGCAGTCTTCCGAACCCAAAATTTACCCTACCCAAAAGCTCTGTGCATTTCTTCCTATCTGTTTTCGTGTCCTTTGTTGACTACCACTTGGTTTCCTTCAGCCCGAAGCGGATACAGCGAATAAGGCACAGTTTGATAAACGACAGCTGGACATACGCAATACGTTTGCCAACCAGCGAAACCGACTTATGTGAATTCGATGCCATAGAAAATTTATCCCCGATAAACTAACTCGTTCGTTCCATCCACCGCAAGCTGAACTACATAAGCACATGCAGTCGAAGAAATTTAGTAGATGGATATCTTCTACTAGCAAATTCAAAGTCTCCTGGCCATAAAACATACCCGAAAGAACGGTAGCGCAGTACACTTGGCCTTTCGATTTATGAGAAACGTGACAAACGTGCTTAAGGCTTAGAAATGAGGGCGGCTAATTCTTTTGCTATGCTACCGTCATTGGTCACTCAACTACCTATTTAGGAAAAGCAATCCACTATAACCAATTCCTGGTCAGTTAGGTTTATCTTCGGCATAAGTCCTGCAGCATCATTCTGCGCACACCGAATGCCGTGATAAAACGTTTTACTCTATCATATGCGCTTTGTGCATCCTTCACATTAGCAGCGGGAGACAATGTAATCAGCTTACTCTGAAGCGCACAGCTTCTCTCCAGCTGCCTATTTACCACTAACATTTAGAAAACACTAAGAGTGTTCTCCAGAATTGAACAGCCATGGTCAAATAGGGCGCCGGTGGTGGACACCGCTGCTGGATCACCTTCCAGAGTCGTTTATGTACGATGCGCCTTCACGGGTCATTCTGATTCTGGAGGAAATGCAACACCAAAATGTGTTTGTTCACCATCTCAGCATATTGACCGACCAACTGCTGTTCAGAGGCAAAAAAGACGAGCTATTCGATAAACTGATCGAATTCATTCGGTTGAGCTAAAGCTCGGACATAGTTGCGTTGGCAGGTGACTTCAATACGCAAGTTGGAAAACTTCGTGCTTCGGATACCTGCTTAAGCGGTCATTGTGCTTTGCCGCGCAAAGAACAGATAGTGGCGATTGACTTCTGCAATTCTGCGCAGACCATCATCTGTTACTATCCAGTATCAACTTCTGACACAGCTCTCGATGGACGGCACTGCAGTTCAACTGGTACGATAACTCAACTCGAGTACAAAACAGTGCGAACCATTACAAAATTACAAGTCCTATTGGACCACATGCATTGAGTCTTATCACGCATTCGTTTTGATGCATTTCACTCTACGACTCATCGGTCCTGGACAAAATCAGTAAACTCGGTTAGCTCATCAGTTCGTCTGTCCTAGTAGTACTTGCACACTGAATCCGAACTAGTGTGTCTACAGGCAGCTCCTCAACATGATGGTGTAGAGAATCATTGGGATCAGATTAGGCGAGCAATGTATTCCGCAACGAATGTTGCTTGCGGGTCTGAATCTCAAGTCAGTCGGAGGCATTTGATATCTCATGAGTCAGGAGCCCTGATGGATGAAAAATGAGGAATCCCGACCTGCCAGGATGAAAATAGAGTTACGTGGTATCTGCAACGTCAGCTCACGAAGAGCCTCAAGACGGACCGTGAAAACTGGTGGTCAACAATAGCTAGTGAAATGGAAGTAGCAGCTGCATGAGGGAATGGTCAAAGACTGCTCCGACTGATAAGCAAAACGGAGGTCGGCGAACTCCAGTTAGTGAACCAGTTTGCAACGAGATGGGACCAGCTATTACCCACAGGGAAGAAAGGCTTGATCGCTGGGCTAAACATTTTATTGAGCAGTTCAGCTAACTTCATGCCAGGTTACCTCATCCGCAACTGAATCTCCGTAGGTAGTGTTATGCGATCCGCCGGAACAAGCAGAGGTCCGATCCTGCATTCAGGATCGGAAAAGAGGAAAAACGGCAAGATCGGATGGGTTTCTTAGCACTGTTTTCACGGTAGGGATGATAACTTTGCAAGCTTTATTAGTGAATTACTGCACAACAAGAGAGCATTCCATCATCATGGGGTGAATCAATGATCGATCCTGTTTGCAATATTGTTCTCCCGCAACGATTGAGCAAACCAATCGTTACCCACCGATCTCAGTGCATCTGAAATCAAGGATGCCTTCTAAAAGGATGTTTCTCGACTGCTCCAAAGTGCTCGCTCAACTGACATCGTAGTAGTCGCTGGAAATTTTAATGCTTAAGTGGGTTTCCTGATCGAATCAAAAAGGTGTCTAGGCGACTAGATTGAAATCACAGCAAACCGTACGGACAATGGATATCACTAACTTTAACAGTGCCGATCAAGGTTTTTTCAAACAAAAACTTCTTCCACAATGAAAGATACCACTACACATGGAAACCCCCGTGCTCTTCACAGCAATGGGTTCAAATCGACCATTGCTGACGGGGATCTAAGTCTATTGCTTTTACACTGGTGGACACGAACCATGTTTTGTTACAAGTCAATTTCTTCCTACATATGGTAAATGCCCGTAACAAAGCTGAACGAAACGGGTACCCAAAAAAACACGTAATCGATGGTTACCAAACGGCCTTTGAAGCGGGAATCTCTGATCGTTTTACAGTTCAACCAACCACCGAAGCATTTAACGAAGATTCGACATTAATCAAAGCAGTTATCTAAATTTCGATGAAAACTAATGATGGATATCATCGACCTCAGTTCCTTTACTGGGCCCCTTTAGAACCGTTCTTCCGGA